CACAATAGAGTGAGACTATCCAGTTAGGAGTTAGACTAGGAATGTCATTGGTCGTCTATTGATGCTGGGCTTTACCTTCTACCTTCTAGTTGTACTATACCAGCCATCTATTTCGTATTTCGTATTTTGTATTTCGTATTTCGTATTTTGTATTTCGTATTTCGTATTTTGTATTTCGTATTTCGTATTTTGTATTTCGTATTTCGTATTTTGTATTTCGTATTTCGTATTTTGTATTTCGTATTTCGTATTTTGTATTTCGTATTTCGTATTTTGTATTTCGTATTTCGTATTTTGTATTTCGTATTTCGTATGCTGTATTTCATATTTCATGTCTCTTGTATATTGTGGTTAGTTTTATCACGCATTTTTATGGTACTAATATATCATCTCCTATTGCTTGTTTGAGCCGAGGGTCTCCTGGAAACAGTCTCTCTACCCTTCGGGGTAGGGGTAAGGTCTGCGTACATATTACCCTCCCCAGACCCCACTTGTGGGATTATACTGGGTCGTTGTTGTTGTTGTTGTTGGTGGTGTCCTGGCCAGCTTGTGCCCATATCAACGCACCACACTTTTATTTGTCATAATTTGCTTCAACTATATTGTAGTAAAAATTAGAAAAGATGTAAACTTTCTGCAGTGTCTTTTTGATGATTAGGGCAATGACATTATTGTTTGAAAAGTAAACCTATCTTCATGTCTGAAAACGAGGAACTATGAGCTCACCTGTCCTGCTCGGAAATATAACTTTGTATATCCAACTTGGTACAGTTCCGGAAGAATATCAAATTGCTGAAGAATGGAAACTGACATACTTAGAGGATCTTGACATGCATTATCCTTCACCAGAAGGAAGCCGTACCTAAAATACCGCATTCATATAAGTCAAAAACAACCAAAAGGACAAGTCGGCGACAAATTAAGGATCAAGTATGTCACCTGCTTGTGAATTCTTGATGTGTTAACCTAGTAGGATAGCCAGATCTTGATATTCTAACCACCTCAAGAACACCACAGGATCTGAGCTGTTGTATGATAAGATCTTTGTCACACATGCCAGGAACCTGCTTATTATTTGGTTTTATGCAACATATGAAGTGCGGTGTTGTATTTTCCAACTGCTGCATCAGTTTGAACAAATGATCCTGCCAGAAGTTTTTGATAAAGGGAAACCTTGAGCAACTATTGGGGTACCCTAAGATACAAACTTTTATTTTCTAAAGTGCTCAGTTTGTTAGCATGATCAAGTTCTATAAAGAAGTTGAGAAAATAACCACCTTAAACTTAGTTGCAACACTTTGCTTCTGAAAATCTGGCACCCCTGTATAGGTTGATGGACTCGAGAATTCTGTATCTTCATTAGCAGAAACAGAGGCAAACAGCTGAGGTAGCTGGCCGTTACTTGATGAGAGTAGCTGAATAATGTCAGAATGCAGTGCATCTCTGTTCTTTTCTAAGAAGCCAGTTGCATCATAAGTAACCTGGAAAAAACAAATATAAATAATTACTTTGTCCAGAGTTAGACAACTACAATGAGTAATTAACTCGGAGATTCCATAGAGTTAGACAAACTGAGTAATTGAGTACTAGATGACAAGAAAATACTACTTAATATCCGTAGAACTATAGCACATGACAAGAAAAGATGCATTTATAAGAGAAACTGACCTCTCCAGCATAATGGCGAATATGAAATTCTCCTCTTTCACCTTTAAAGCAAGGGTCAGATTTGATCTGCTGCTGAAGTTTACTCGCGAAGGTCAAATCAGTGGCTTTTAGGGAATTTGATTCTTCGTTCAACAAAGATATAAGCCCAATGGGTTTCTGCAAAATGAAAAATGACAGTTCATCGATCAACTGGTATGTCCATTCAAATACATGTGGTAAATTGCGTAGCCAAAATACAGAGATCTTCTTTATGATTGACTTGATATATTGCATTTTCACTACTTAACCCATAAGAAGGAATAGAACGATAAGAAAATTGTGGTGGCAGCTATATCAAATAGAACTTGTGACAATACGAACAGATGCATTTTTATCCTTTGCATCCAACTCAACAATTAAACATGGAAAGAGTAAGACTAAACGGAAAAAGATGTAAAAGGCCAAAAAGGAAAAAGAGCAACAGTGTGATTGCGTAATTAAGAATGAAAGTATAATCCAGGACAGAAGAAAGCTAGCAGATTATATAAACTCCTGACGCCAAGTAAATAGGAAAAAGAACCAAAAGGCAGAAATACCTTTTCGAAAAGATCCAGGCACTCTTGGTTGTCTTCAAAATCAACTTTTGTCCAATCAATTCCGTCCAATTCATATTCCTGAAATGAAAAAAACATCAGTTCTTGCATCGACATCTAAAAATGATGCTGTAAGGAATATCTTCAGGAGAGTAATAAAGCCCGAAAATACAACAGGAAAACTACAGACAGGAAAAATCTGAGTCTAACAATCTTGTGTTTTTCTGCGTAACATACAAATTTCTGCAGCAGCCACTGATCTTAAATGCCCTAATAGTTTCTGTTGAAGGTAAATTACTCTAGAGTTGATAAGGAAGAGGGTACTAGCAGTACAAACAAAATCATCAATACAATTGAAATGAGAAAAAAGTGAATAGAGAGGAAGAGAGAGCGTATTGTTTTATTCAACAGTCCAAATCCGCGATCGTACAATGTTTCCTTTGAATATGTAAAGTACAAGGCTAATTCTTAGAAAGCTTATGAGTGAAAATGGAAATGGCATTAAGTATGGAAAGTAACCTGAGAGCTGGAAGTAGTAAGCTTGAAGTTTGATTGCCTTGATGACAGGTGATAAAGAATGGATTAGATGCCTTCGCTTGTTCATTAGTCCGACTTATATAGGACATGAGTCTCTTAGGGTCCAAGTGTAGGCGGAGTCTCCATTGAAGAGACATGAATGAGGTCATGGACCATTATGGTGCAAATCTCATCCAGATTGTCGGGTTGATTGAGGAGTTTGTTGGACTCTCAACCTTATCCCTTGAGACTCGGGCAGAGGAATTGGTGTGGGAGCGTCGTGGCTTAACAAATTGAAGTCATGGCCAGTAAATATAGGGTGCTCGTATCATTATTCCGGCTCGTACAGGACGGTTTAAGAATGGATATTTGATCCCGGAACTGGTCGTATTGAGTCAGTAGTGCGAGTCGGTCACAGGCTTTGAGCCTTGGAGAGGGATGGTTTGTTCGGGGCTTAGCTAGTTTAGCACGCGTAAGGCACGTGCTATTTTTGACAACTACAATTTCTCAGCCCCAGTTCTCATAAAAAGTTTCACTCATTATAGTCAGCTTATGCAAAACCGGTAAAGAGACTTGTTCCGTTTTACCTCCTTTCAGTTAAAGAAGTTAGTAGAGGAAAGGGATGAAGCAATAAGAATGAACTGGGGAGGATCATGATATGCTTACCTCTTGTTCAAGTTTCAAAAGATGTCGGTTGACATGTTGCCGGAGCCTCTCATTTGCATAGTTTATGCAAAATTGTTCAAAACTGTTTCTCTGAAAAGTGGGAATGGGACTGTCAAGTTGGATACAAGAAATCTTCCTATGCAGTATAATAGTTCTTTTTAAAAAAGACACAAATAAATTTACCTTAAATGATTCAAAACCATAAATATCCAGAATATTTATGGATCTACCCTTCTGTTCTTTACCCATTGCAAGTTTTCTGTTCATTTGATCAACTATCCAGTCAAACAAGTTTGCATAAATGAACTTCGCCAATGTATCTCTTCTATCAGTTGCCTGATCAGATTCAACATGAGTCACGTTCTCAAGAGAAGAAATAGGATTGCTAAATTCATATATAAGAATAATTAATGAAAATAGCACATCTTCTGGTAAATATCAGAATGAAATGTGAAAAAAGAAAATCAGCAAGAGATGGAATATAAGCACTTCGATTAACCTGCTCCATAGTTAAACTCTTGGCAACCTTATCCTTGCCGACTTGTATTTGGCGTGTTGATAAAGCTAGCATGAGGTCATTTACTCTGCATCCAATCAAGCTAGCAGCATTTGTAACAGCTGCAATATAAAAGATGGTGAGAAACCAAACAGATAAACGGCCTCCATGGAAGCACAGAATATAAATGAATACTAAAAAGTGAAGACCTTGCAAACAAAGTGAAGCAAGAAACTTCACAATTATTGTAACAAAGTAAGACCATACAAGAGGTGCAGGAAAGAATTATCATAAGAAGCATAAGAAATTCGCATGAATCACAACAACAGAGGCTCTATAACAATGTAAACCGCTCATGGCCCAAAAAGTGGACAAGCCTAAGAGAGACCCTCAAAATTGCAGAGAAATGGAGTTAACAAGAGTACTTCTGGAGTTAACATAACTACTCCAGAGAAAAGCAGCCAACTGACAATGAGAAATATGATAGACTGCCCTTTACTCGAAATGGAAGAAAGTGTTTAAGCTGAAACCGATTATATGGATGCTGAGCAAAAGCTAAGTCAAGAGATTCACAGTTGGAAAGCTAATTTACAATTGACCAAGAGTACAATTACTTATATATGTATAAGATTATGAAAATTATATCTGTATTTATTTCAGCTTGAACAAAAGTAGAAGAGGATCAACATTAGCTAATGCTACATTGATAAGATAGCCCACCTTCATTTTGCACAACTTCAACATGGCTTGCATTGTCAATTACTTCGAATGTTATATTTCCCAGCCATAAAACTGAAGCAATCATCTGAAAAACATGCTCCTGATCCCTTTCAGAAATCCTAAAAGTATTTAGGGCTTCCTGGTGAAAGTAAGAGAAACAAAGGAAATAATTACAAAAAAAATCCAGCACGGCATTGAACTGAAAGAACAGAAATCAAACATAAGTTGACCATGTCTTATCCCTTAAGGCTCACCATAAGCTTACGAAATTCCTCAGCATCATCAATATCATGGATCACCAAGCAGTCACTCTGGTTGAGATATTTGTATTCAGATGCACCTTTCAACTTAAGTTTATCTGAGAATGAATCACATAGAAGTTCTCAAGAAGAAATCTTTCTGCAGCTTTTATAACTAATTTATCAACAAAAAATAGAATCTTTAACTAACACCCCTGCCCTCCTAAAGAAGAGAAATAGAAACAAAGAATTATCTAAAGTTGTACAGAGACCGTTGTGACTTCTAGGTCCTACAAAACCAAAACAGAAAATTTATAGAGCACCAGAAATAAAAGAGTCATTTCAATCTCTCTTTTTTTAATCAAGAAAAAGTCTGTTCAATCTCTTAAATGTTGTCTTTTCTAGTAAAACAAAAAATTATATACACATAATATTGAAAGAACTTCCATTAAACAGAGTTTTTAACTCCAATAAAATTTCTCACTTTTTAGATGATTCATAAGCTGTATGCCTAACTTCTAGATTTTTCTGCTCCAGAGTTCCACTTCCACTTTTTTTAATAACACTGGTGTCCGGTCTAACTGGTGACACAGCGCTCATATTTCACAGGTTGCGTGCATCCTCCGACCAGAACATACGTTTTTGGGCGACTCTACCCACCATAACACTGGTGTCCGGTTTACCCACCTAGTTTTGTCGCCTCTGCTGGGATTCAATCGCTGGTCCTCATGATTTTCTTTTCAGACCACCTTATGATGCAGTCCCACTTCCATGTTTAAGAAGATCTTGTTGAATTACTAAGTTTTGTGTCTATTAATTTACTCTTATATCCTATTACATTGATTGTTTACAACTTCAAAATCACAGCCCCTGCTTCATCTTTAAGATCGCTGAAATTTCAGTTCAGGAAAAGATATGCGGAAAACATCTCAGGAGTTGTAACCACACAGCATCAAAAACAGAAATTGTTTTGGCAATGAAGTTACATCGCTGACTAATTGCACAATCACAACCAATGGAGACGGCAATGTTTAAAGCCATGTGAAGCCCTACGAGTGAAATAAGCAATAACAACAGCACAATGAGGTCCAGTATCAATTACAGACCTCTCAAAGTAGGTGGAGCCCCAGCACATAGTTGGTAAAAGATATGGTAGGACCTCTCTCCATTGACCAGTTGAACTACTCTCGACTGACCAAAGAAGACATTATGTTTCAAAAGAATTAGATTGCAATTGTACTGATATAAATGCAACATGAAGATCCAGGGTAGAGAGGAGAAGAAAATCCCACCTTTTCAAGAAGTACTACTCATTGTTTTAGCATTAGCACATTGGACATGCACAAAGAATTATAAAAGTCAGTAACAATGCCAAAACAGTTAGGAAACGACAATTACAATAAATTGCAATATCTGAATCAAATTTTGTAGACACATACAGGTTTGTATTTTAGCACTGCATATCCTTCCTGTTGCACTAAAATGAATTTCAATCAACTTTCCCTGCATCCATCAGGGACAACTGTCAGAACAAGTGCAACAAATGGGGAAATAAAGGAAAGTAACGAAAAAAGAGTAAGGCATAGAGACTGACAAATCGACTAGAGTTGTTGTTCTTGGAAGTTTTGGCATTCCCAAAGGCCTCCAGTATGTAGCTTGTTTGCAGCACCTCCCTCTCTATTGCATTACGGCCTCCGCCAATCATAGCCAAGTATTCCATTGCAATCTTTGCTGTTTCCGTCTTCCCAGATCCACTTTCCCCACTGTATGATATGAAGAGAAATTAGTTCCTCCCAATCACTAAAATCACCTTGATTTGATAATTACTATCTAAGACATCAATCACTTTAACAGCCTCACTACTCCTTCGGGGTAGGGGTAAGGTAGAAATACACACTAAGTATCTCGCAGCACTAAAGATACCAAAGAGACATTTTCACCAACCTTATGATAATAGATTGACTTATTTCATCTGCACGATTCAAAAGGTAAAAGCAAAGAAATTAGGATCAGCTTGCATCTAAGGTTTTTAAAACAGCTAACGATGAACTATTTTGGTATAATAACAATGAATATGGTTCCGTGGAAAACCTTCCATCATTCGATCGTATGCAGTGTCAGCAATAGAATAAACATGAGGATCATTCAAGAACTTCTGTCTGTAAGCTGTAACAAATTCGTCCCCATACAATTGGATATCTTTGAAGGGATTGATTGCTATTAAAACAGGCCCTGCCGTACTCTGCAGGCATAGCGGGACAGAAAGATTAAAAGTGGAGAGACATGAAATTACAAAACGAGGCATATAGGCAGTTTAGTATTACGCACATATATTGTGTCCCGTGCATATCTGTGTTGAAGGTTGTGAAGAACTGATGGCTCATTCAAATAACTAAGTTGCATTAGATCATCCACACCCTCAAGAACGTCAGGATTAGCAGGTAAAAGCTCTCCTACAGGCACTGTCACAACCTATAGTACGACAATGTGTAAGTACCATGCAGCTAGTAACTTTAAATATTCATCATTTAGGAATAGCAGGTATACGTGAACTCACACTGCGATCAGATAGTAATACTGTAGCTTTATCTCCTGAAGATGATTGAACCTGTCCTGATACCCATTGTCCATTCCTCAGGCAACACCAGATGCGGAGCTTCTGAAACACAAATATAGCTCTTAGCTACATAGAAATACTATCTTTAGAACAACCCTCAAAATCTTCCAACAGTAAACAAACCAAACACAATTAAGAAAACAGGTGGAGCTCCAAAACTACGCACTAATCCATCATTGAATTAAGGCAACTATAAGAATAACTACCAGAACTACGGATCAATCTGAAACAAGAGTTATATGAATAAAGACAGTAAATTTACAGAAATGAAGACAATGCATTTCTGACAGTAACTATATTTTACCTTGTTAATAAAATAATTGATGTTAGGTTCCATTCCTTTAACCTTCTTATAAGCCCCAAAATTAGCATTCCTTTGCAACCCTTTAGACTCTTGTAATTTCTTGCTACTATTCTTCTCCAATTCAACATCTCCTTTAATTCCCAAGCTATTGGGCAACATTCGCTTCGGTGAGGGAGGCCTAGTCTTGGATTTAAGCTTGGGCCGAGCCGGTAATGCCGGTGGCAAGTCTTTGGGTTTCTCATTTTCGTCCCTTTTCCGGAGAGTTTCCAGCATTTCCTCTAACGAACTACGCGCCATAGAATTTGGCGAAACGGACAACATCCTTTTTTTTCCCTCAGAAGTAAGAATTATATGTACAAAAAATTTCTCATTCCAATAAGGGGAAAATAAAAGGGAACTTCTTTTTAGGCTAAATCAAGAACATGGGGTTGGCTCATTATGTCGAGTAAACAAACTTTTTGAGGAAGACAGAGAATAATAAGAGAAGCAAAATTGCCTAAAGACAGAAATAGATATTATCTAATGAGGAAAGAAGCTTTTTTTTTCTGGTTTATCAAAAAGAAAAAGGATGTTCACTTTTGTGTGCCGTGTGTTGGTTGGTTTTATATTTAGAAAAACAAAAACTGCCGTTCAGACAGAACCAAAATAGAAAATAATGGATATGAAATTTTGAAAATTTATCAGTTTTGGTCGAGTATGTAGTAATAGGATTGAAAGAACCGTTGGATTTTGATGAAGGAAATTTAAATAAATTTGAATTTAGTGATATAGTATCCTACTACTAGTAATGTACTTTGCTAAAATAGCGTAGACCTGAAATTTTGCATTGGCAGACAGAGACACCTGAAAGGAAGCGGATAAAATGTGGCATTTGGTGGAATCTAAATTTGGTCCTATAACTCTTCTCTAATTACAGTAGTAGGCTTCAATTTTTTAATTCTTCCGTTTTACTTCCTGCTTAAAGCATTTTTTGTTCTTTCTCTTGTGAATTTTTGTTTTACAAACAATATTATTCTACATGTTTAGAAAAAATTTAAATCCATGTACCGTTATATACTAATTTATTTATTATGTATTATTTTTTTTGTTTCTACCATGTACGTAAATATAGGATATATTCAGGTCAAATTACTAGCGTTTGGCCAATGATTCCCAAATTTGTTTTGGAAAATCTGAGTTGGGTGAAGTTTGGTTTGAAGATGAAAATGTGTTTGGACATAAGTTTTCAAAACATATTTTACTTTTTTTTAAAAAAAATTATGAACATGACTTATACCCACAAGTTCTAAAAACTATCACAAATACCCAATAGAACCTTTATCAATAACATTCATTATGGGTGTGTTTGGTATAACGGAAAATATTTTCCGTGGAAAATATTTTCTTGGAAAAACAAGTAGTAATCTTATTTATTTTCTGGTGTTTGGTACGCAAATTAAGGAAAATGACTTCTCTAGAGTATTCATAAATAATTTAGATATAATAAACATGAAGCCATAAACTTTCAAACCAACAACCTTCCGGACCCACAAATTTCATAAACTTTCGAACCGCTAAATTTTCAAAACCGCAGAATTTAGAACCCGTAAACTTCCAAACACATAAACCTCCGAGATCATAATTTTGGAACTTGTAAAATTTTGAGCCTTTAAACCTATAAATAATAAAATTAAAACTGAAAAATATATTTAAAGCAAGTGGGGGGCGGTTGGGGTGGGTGGTGCAAAAAAAAAATGAAAAAACAGAAATTTGAAATTGCAAAAACAAAAACAAAAAAATTTTGGTAAAAAAATATTTTTTT